TTTTGGGATTATTGAAAATGTGATAGGAGTGGAGGATGTAACTACTGATTGTAAGACTAGTAAAGTTGTGGTGAAAGGAGAGAAGGCAGATCCATTAAAAGTGTTGCAAAGATTGCAGAGGAAGAGCCATCGTCAAGTGGAGCTTATCTCACCGATTCCGGAGCCTAAACCGGTTTCTGATGAACCGGAGAAAAAGGAGAAGGAGAAACCTAAACCTGAGGAGAAAAAAGAAGAGGTATGTTGTATAATATGTGTAAGATTTTGGGGGCTTGATTTGTAATTTATAGAAAACTTATTGGCTTTGTGTAATTAACAGTAAGATTTTGTGGGCACTGAGAAAAACAGGTAGTGACAGTGGTGCTGAGAGTTCACATGCATTGTGAAGCATGTGCCATGGAGATTCAAAAGAGGATCATGAGAATGAAAGGTTTGTATTTTTTATTTTATTTTTTTACTTTTCTCATTTAAAATTTATTTTCTGAATTGGGTACAATTTCTATTGATTCTGAATTTTAATTCTGAATTTGGTTCAAAAAAAAAAAAAAAAAAAAAAAAAAAAAAAATTCTGAATTTGTGGGACTACACTTAATTGGGACATCAAGTTTGGACTCTTTTATGTGTCATAAATTGATTCCAACTCTTTTTATTTTACTGAAAGTACTGTGTACTGTGTAGGACCTTTTTAAAACATAGCAATTTGAAAAAAGCATGTGTTTAGTGAATCTTTCATTAAAAAAGAAACTCTCATTCACCTGATTATTGTTATTATAATCATATAGTTACAAACCGTTCTTCTTCACATATATTTTTGTTTGTTTTGAGTGTTTCAAGATTACATAAATAATACGAATTGTGTTGAATCGAGTCTAACTTAAGTCAACTACTTTACTTTTACTTCACCTATTCCCCAAGAATCCCAAAGTTCTAAACACTTCTTTAATTAGGGTTTATGTTTCATATATCCTGATTTTGTACTTATCTGAAATCAAATTTATATTTATAATGCCATCAATAAGTTGGACCAGATTTTATATTATGAAAGTGTGGTTAATTATGTTAGGTAGAAATTTATTGGCCAAAAGATTACATTGGTGACTACTACTGCCTATAGAATTGATATTAGCTTTGTACAATGATCTCATTTGATAGTTAATTTGAATTTTTTTGTAATGCTTATTATTTTATTATAATATATAGTTAGTTTACATTTTCATATAGAGAATAAAGTCAAAACATGTTTATACATATAGGAGTGGAGTCTGTGGAACCAGATTTTAAAGCATCACAAGTGAGCGTGAAAGGAGTTTTTACGCCGGAAAAGCTAGTTGAGTTCATTTACAAGAGAATCGGGAAGCATGCCGCGGTTGTCAAGCAAGATCCGCCGCCAAAACCTCCGGAGAAAGAAAAAGAAACGAAAGACAAAGACGAGAAGAAAAAGGAAGAGGGACAGCCCAAAGAAGGAAAAGAGGCCAAGGAAAACGGTGGTGGAGGAGGTGCTAAAGGCGATGGTGCTGCCGCGGAGGAGGGGAACAAAGTGGTAGACTTGAAGAAGAACGAATATCAGTACCAGCCACCGAGGTACCCCGTGGAGATGTTTGCTTATCCACCGCAGATATTCAGTGATGAAAACCCCAATGCTTGTACCATTATGTAATAAAATCGTCGGTTTAAGGGGTTGTAGGATTTGTTATTTTTTTACTTTATTTCTATGCAGAATTTTAATTTAAATGTATTTTTGGTAATTTTTAGTTTCAACCGAATTGAATGATCGTATTTTTGATATTTTAAAATAATAAATTATCCTCGTGTAGACGTATGAGTCTTTGAATTGATCCCCAAGAAAACGAAATCATAGGTTACTTTCAACACTCTCACAACATGATTGATAAAAAGATCACACCAGTTTCTTACAAATTGGAACTTGTAAACTGTCTTATTTTAATTCTAATTCGCATTTTCGTATAAAGGAATAAACATGAACCCTCTAAGGCTTTAATGGCCCATTAGCGGAAAAGAGTTCAAATCCAACTGCTCAACAAAATTTGTCATTTGATGGAATTGGTTTATCAATTTTTTTTAACCGTTGAAACGTAACTAACGATATTTTTCTACGGTCTTAGTATTTCAATATAATTCCAGCAAATTTTTGACAACTTTATTTCCTTTTGACAGATAAAAAATCATCAGTAATCCATGTGTAACAGTCATATTGATTGATCCTCATTAAAAATAATTTTATGTATTGCTATAATGGCAAAAAGTCAATATAGGTTAATCTATAATATTTTATCACTATTTGTGGAATATATGTAAAAGATTTGTGAAATATTTAACGAATATAATATTTAAAATGTTATTGTATATGTTAAACTAATAATGAATGTATTAAATGTAAACTTTCTAAAATAGAGATCATATTTTTTTAATTAATATATAGATAATTTTTACTTTTATTTATTTATCCTTGCTAAAATGTATATTGTTTTTGATAAGAGGATATTTTATTGTTTGGATAAAACTGATTTAAAGACAAGACAAGATAAGACTGATTAAGAGGATATATTAATTAATATATTTTTATAAAAAGATTGATATTGCAATATTGAATTGAAATAGTATCATAGATCATAGTTGTCCATGTAAATAATAATTGATACATTTATACTTGTATACTTGTTAGTATTTAGATACTTGACAAGTTTACACTGTTTTATGAATTAATGATAAATATCAAGAAAGCATGAAAAATCACAATAAAGAGAATCTCACCGACATCTGGCTTTCATTGGCCGGTGACATGTCGGATACGCTCAAGTTAGAATCTGATACTCTTTGTCTCTTACAGCCGACGTGTCCGGTATACTCATGGACACTAAACAAACGACAAACCGATCGTTAAACCGGACTAAGTATAATGATTAGTTGATTACTCAAGAAGAGAACAACTAATTTCATCGGTTTGGTTTGTAAATTTATAAAACCATTCGTCCTGGTTCGAACTAGAACCAAATCGTGCAAAACCGTTTAAAGTGTCCAAGAGAGTTAATATAAATAAGAAGATCTCTCTAATCGTGTTGTTTCAGAAAACAAGAGCGTCCTTTGATTGGTTTTGGATTTTGTTGTGTTCCTCTCAAAATGACAAAACTATGGACTTCTCTCTCTGCTCTTCATTCCCTCGCTGGGTATATTTCTTTTTCTTCTATTTGATTTTAAATATTATTTTCTCTATCCATTTAAGTTTTTATTTTCAATTTATGGTTTGATTGTTATATGATAAGATTAATATCCTGGATTTTCATTTCATCATTGAAAATAACATTATGATTTTGTGTTTTGTTTTATGGTACGATCATACGCAGACCCGTGGTGATGCTGCTCTATCCGTTGTAAGTAATCTACTATTGTTTCTCTACATTTTTGTTTAGTTTTATTTTGATCTAATTTTGTTTTTATGATTTTGGTAAAGATATGCGTCGGTGATAGCAATAGAGAGCCCATCAAAAGTAGATGACGAGCAATGGCTTGCTTATTGGATTCTCTATTCTTTCCTTACTCTATCAGAACTCATCCTTCAATCTCTCCTAGAGTGGTAAGTGGCTAGTGGTAACAATCATATCAAACCTGTCTCATTTCTTGTTATGTTTTTGTTATGGTAATGATATTAAAATGGATATCGAATATTTATAGGATACCGATATGGTACACGGCGAAGCTAGTGTTTGTGGCATGGTTGGTTTTACCACAATTTAGAGGAGCTGCTTTTATATACAACAAAGTCGTGAGGGAACAGTTCAAGAAGTACGGCATCCTCAAACCTAAGGTCAACAAATTCATCCTTCTCATTTTTCCCTTTACGTTTAATTTCTTATGAACTAAGTTTATATCTTAATTTCGTAAAGACACTTGATTAAAAGTTGTTGTGGTGGGATAAAAGTCTTTGTGAGGGCCGAACCTTGTCTTTAATTGGTTGCCCCGTAGGACGGCCGGTTCAATCCCGGTTTGTTTCGAGTCTAAACATTTTACGAATCAAATAGACTAAAGAAAGCATAACTTTTTCAAATAAGGATTAATACGAATTGGAGAAAACATAGCTTTTTCTAATAAGTATTAAAACGAATTGGATGAAGTAATGTATTTACGGTCACTTTACCTTTATTTTGGTGTTTGGAATACAGGTAGAGCATCAGGCTGAGTGAGTCAAAAAGAGCAGGGGACACAAGAGGGCTTCACTGTTGGGGTCTCCAGTTTCTAATCTCTTTATGCTTTTTCTATTTTGTCTTATTTCTCTTTTGATATACGGAAAAATGGGGTTGTTCTTATTATGAGCCTCTGCTTGAATGTATGAAAAGACCTTTTATTCGACGTTAAACTATTATATTAAAGATTAAAAAATTGTAAATCTTGTGTTGCCACTTCTTAGTCTTTCAAGATATCATTGCCTTAAATTTTAATACTTAATATAAGATCAAATAGAATTCTTATACAACTTAAGCAATACAAATCTCTGTAGATTAGAAATCACTTATTTAAAATTCAAAACAGATATAATTTTTAAACTTGTCAAATTAAAGTTTGATCTCACTACCTTAAACCTTGCACAGTAATGTTCAAATATGCACGCGTTAAAATATCCAAGTAGACGATGCGGGAGGATCAGTAAAATGATGTTCTTTGTCAACACATAAGCTTAACATTTCACACATACTCTCATGTAGTGGTGGATCCAGTCATCCAGAAACGTTTTAACAAGGAATAAAATTAGTTCAAACTTAGGACGTTTGGAGCAAAAAAGACTAAATTTAAACCACTTTTCCAATTTGCTCTTATTATTTAGATGGAATTTTTTTGATGGAGCACTTAGTCTTATGCATTTTCTAATTACCCTACAGGTAAACTATTTTCTTGTGTAGTCTTACAATGGCCGGTCTTTAGGAGAAACCTTGATCTTAAGTTCATTCCTGTGGGTAGGGGTGTCAAAATGGGTAACCCAACCCAACCCAACTCATAATCAAATGAGTTTATAATTAAATGAGTTATGGGTTAGACCCAACTCATTTTGTTAAATGAGTTATGGGTTAGACCCAACTCATTTTGTTAAATGAGTTGGGTCTAACCCATAACTCATTTCATTTGATGGGTTGAATTGTTAAATGGGTTAACCATTTAAATAATAATTTAATTTATAATTATCATCATCATTAATTCATTATTATCAAATTTGAGATATTTATTGATTCAGAAATTTTTACGAGTTTACATTTTTAGACGGTAAAATTACGAGTTTACGGTTTTTTTGCGGGAAACTCACGAGTTTACGTTTTTGGCAGGAAAATTACGGGTTTACGTTTTTTTGGCGGGAAAATCACGGACTTACGTTATTTTTTCTTGTGAAGTGGTTGGATCAAGCTCATCATAACATCGCTTTAGAAGTTTGAATTTCATTCTCGGATCCAAAACAGCCCCCATTGCAAGAATAACACTACTCTTTCCAGTATTTATCAAATTTCAGTCTCATCTTAAAAATCATCTCTCGGACTACTTTATCTTCGTTGTATTGATGAACTTCCAACAAACACTGAATCTTCCAAACATGACCAAAATATAAATTTGAAGTTGAATAGCTTCTCCCAGATATCAAATTAGTGATCTTGTAAAATGGCATCAAGATCTCATGAATAGTCTTTGCTCTCTTCCATTCTTCACTCGAGGGATAGTTCTTATAGTTTTTATCAACTATCTTAAACCTATTTAGTGCACGTTGATACTTCAAAGCTTTGTGAAGCATCAAATATGTTGAATTCCATCGAGTTTGCACATCTAATCATAGAAGCACTTCCCCTTCCCCTTCTACACATTCTGCAAGATGCTATTTTTCCATCATTCTCATCTTCTAGTGTAAAGTAATCCCACATATCTGATGTTCTACTTCTTTTAAAACGAGAAGCACTTACTAAACTTTTAGATTGTGATGTATCTGCTGATGTTTGCCCACCTTCACCACCATAAGTACATTCGTCTTCATTGTCCATTTTTTGTAAAAGATCAGCTGCAAATAACTATACATAGAAATAAGGCCAAGTTAGAGATTGCTTAATAAAACCTGTTATTAGCCAAATACAAGAATTAATCACATAGACACAGTCAAAGAATCAATAAAACAAAGAGAAAAGAAGACTGTTTTGGACAATACGGCAAGCATATGACTAAATACGATTTTTGTTAGCTCTTGTTATTCTAAAAATATTTCTACACTGAGTGTAACTCTGATTAGGCATGATACATTAAAAATTTGGTTAAGTTAGATCATGAACATGATTTCCCAAACCAAGAGGAGACGTGATAGACATCATCTTTGACCCTAGACATAAGCTAGAAGAAGACTAGTCTATTAAAAGTAGAGCCATTCAAATAAAGTGAAAATTAACCATATAAACAAGCTTCAGAACTCTAGAGCAGCATTGAATACGCTTCTACTATCACTTAAGTTAGATCCTGAACATGATTTCCTAAACCAAGAGGAGACAGGACTCACACACAAATCATCTTACATATAGATCTCTAAACCAAACTCCATAGAAACCAGAAATAGAAAGTTAAATATTTCAACACCAACTTAAACCAAAAAGATACCAAAAAAGAAACGCAAAATTCAAGTTTCCAGATGCTTATACTAACAGCTGATTGCTTCTTAAGATCAACTAGGGTCTTTCATTAGCTTAAAAACAACAAAAGAGCTGAAATTTAACAAACAGAAGCTGGAAATTGAAGGATTTGAGCTTGTGCTGAACTTGCAAAAAAAAAAGAACAGTCTAACTAAAATGATCCTAAAAGAATAGTCAAAGGACGTTAACCTACGGTGTCTCTCCTTTGATTCACCTACACATACGGTGGCGCAGACTCCGGGGATTAGAGCATTTCAGCCGTTGGCCCGAGCGGTTCGGTCATCCCTCCGCCGTAAGACCACCGGGATCGCTTATCTGGTTTCACGCCGTCTCTTGGATTTTAATCTACTTGGCCCCCAAAGCTCGAAACATTTTCTGCTTAGCCCCCGATATAAGAAAAATGTCTTTATCTATTTATTTTAATTCAGATAAATGATAAAAGACAAAAAAATCTGATGATATTTGACATATTTACAACTCAACCACACTTTAGATCTAAATCCATGTAAGTTTGGATCTTTTATTTCTAAATCCCAAATTAAAAAACCTACATCTTCTCATTTCTCTTCTTTATTTATCCACGATACTCAGACAACTTTACATCATCTTTCTCACCTCAAATTTGAAACCCACAAAATCTTATATCCATAACCAAATTCTCAGCTTCCATTGTTCTCTCCACTAGGCGGAATAAGGGATCCCTTTTATAAATTCTAGTTATTCTAACAACTACAGTTAGCTAATTCCACTTCAGATTCATAGTCTTCATCTTCCTCTTCTTTTCCTTTTCCAATTTCACATCTTTGCTCTTGGATTTTAGTTCAATTGCTCAATTCTCGTTTCATTTTGTGTTGTTTTTTGTGAATTAGGAAATTGATTGAAGTCATAGATGAGTACGATGGAGACGACTCTATATCTCCATAGATGGAGTGAGTTTCTTGAAGGTTCTTAACTTCTTAACTTAGTATTGACTTGGAACGACATGTAACAGTTTTTTTCTTGTTTTTATTGAGAGATAATGAGTAAAAACTGTAACTTTATTTGTAAATTCTTATTAAAATGATTGATTTCTCTTGGTCAATTTTGGAAGAAATCTGGTTTCAAGTGGGTTAATAAGGAGTTGCAGACATGGACGAATTTTTTTGTATGTGTATATTAGCCTCGAACATTTGTGTCTTTATTACAAGAGGAAGAGGAGGAGGAAGAGAAGGAGAAGGAAAAAGAGAAAGAGAAGTATAAGACAAAGAAGACTTGGTAGTTGTAGTCTTTTAGGTACAATTCTCTTGGGTTTTGGTTTGAAGTATAATTGTTTGGTTTGTCTTGTGGTTTTTGAAGTTTATGTATGAATCTAAATGTTTAGGACATTTAGGTACAACTGGTAGACGTATGTACAACTATGCTTCTAGGTTTATTTATGAATCTAAGATTTTTTGACAAAAAAAAATTACGAAAAATTATGAATGATTGTGTTTTGAAAAAAATAAAAATTTATTATGAAGTTTTGATCTAAAAACGAAGGAAAAAAAAATAAAGTATCTAAAATATCTACATATCTTAAAAAACTTGACAAATATATGATGTGGCGCTGATATTTTGAAAACATCAATTAAATAATTGCACAAATTTGTTCATAGTTGTATAGTTGTACTCGGTTGCACATTTATGCTCATACTTGTACAATATCGAGAATTTATTAAATCTAGTTGTTATCAACTCTAAATAAGATTTTTTTGGTGGAACCGATGATATTATCTCATCAAAATACCATTACAATGTATCAGTATATTTATATTTATCAAAATACAAGTATTTAAAAAATTAAAAAAATATAGTTCAAATATACAAAGTAACCATGAAAGTATAAGGTTGTTAGTGTATGAATGTTGGATTTTGTGATAAGAGTTTCATTATTCTAGAAAAGATGATTTTTTTTGGTCAAAAACTTGTAATGTAGTTTCATTACTATCGTGTATGCATCATTTAAGTTTTTCTTTTTTTATAAATTTGGTCTTAAATTTTCATATTTTATAAAATTCTAAAAACAAGACAAGGCAATAGACCTTAGTTGTAAGGGTTGTTCTTGGTTGTACCAGGACAGAACAACTTAATTTGTTCAGATACGACAAGAAAATTAATCATATTCATTATAAGCAAAGCTTATGACTGAAGTCTTTTTGATTATCACTTAAAATGGAAAAGAGAAAAAAAATAGTCTATAATTTTATATTTTCGTATTAGTCTATCAACATAGTCGTACACATTTGTTTTAATTGTCCTAAATTTATAATCCCCAAATTTTTCTAAAAAAACCTGTATTTAATCTGCGAATTCAACCAAGTATACTAGTTACCAACATCACATCTTACTATAAGAAAAAGTAAACAAATATTTTTAATGGTCTATGAAGAAGAACACAAAGAAGAGAAAAGATATGTAGATACGATTTTTTTGTGTTGATTTAATGATGAACTTAAATGGTGTATGGAGAAGAATTAAAGAAAATAAAAAAGTGAAAAACGTTTTTAGGGAGCAAATGGTAGGAAGAAGAAGAAGAAGAATGAGTTTATTAGGCATTTTAATAGATTTTGATGGTTATTGGGAAAGGAGAGAGAATGAATTTGATTAGTTGATTTTAGAGTTGGTTAGATATAAAATTTAAAAAAGAAATAAAGAATGATAAGATAAGGGTCCCATCATAAAGAGAGGGTAGAGTTGGTTTTCAGAAATATTGAGAAGAAGAGGGGGCAGTGAGAATAAGTAGAAGTTTTTCAAAAATTGATTCAATCAAAAGGGGCCGAGAAGATTAAAATCCCCGTCTCTTTAGGTTACAATCTCTATGACCTTCAAATTTTAACTCAACGAAACAAAACTGTTCAAACGATTGATTTCTTAAATTTGAGGATGATTTTATTAAATTGGTTTAGATGTGTTGGTTAAATATTGGTTTAGAGATTTTAGTTGGTTTAATTCAATTTTACAAAATTTGATGGGTTAATTGGGTAAACCATTAAAACTATTAACCCATTACAACCCAACTCATTTTACTCATCAAACCAATTGACTCATCAACTCATTTGACCCATCAACTCATTTGAGTTAAAAATCAACCCATTAGGGTTCATGGGTTGAGTTGAGTTGAGTTGACCCATGAATTTTGACCCATTTTGACACCCCTACTTGTGGGGCTTACTTTAATTTTTCTTTTCTTTTTGTAAAATATTAACTTATAAGTTTTTAGAGAAAGTAACAAAAATATTTCCACCGATTATGAATTTAATCCTATTAACATCTCGTAAAAACTCTTAACTTTATTAATTGATTTGTAACCTTTGTACGAAAATTTGCATTTTCCTTTATGTTAATTGGTTTCTTGGTAACAATCAAGGCTCTCTCTGCACATTTGGCCACAACTATAATGATATGTGGCCTTCGTCTATGCGTCTATGTAACAGCCCAATTTCAAGCCTCCTCTGTCTGTTCACACGAGCGATCAGATC